AAAAAGATAATCAACAAGGATCTACTGTATAGCACAGTGTACTCTAATAACCTATATGGGAATAGAATCTGAAAAAGAATAGATATATGTATGTTTAACTAAATCACTTTGCTGTACACCTGAAACACAACATTGTAGGTCAAATATACTCCAATATAAAATAAAAATAAAAAAAAAAGGTAGGTATGGCTATATTTAAATCAGACAAGGGGTATGACCAGAGGTAAAGAGGGACATCCCAAAATGATAGAACAGTAAATCCATCTGGAAGATAGAAAAATCGTAAGTGTGCATGCACTCAATAAATGTACATGAACTCAATACAGCTTCAAATTACATCACGCAAAAACTGACAGAACTAAAGTGAAGAATGGACAAATCCACATTCATATTATCTATCAACCAAGTATCAGATCAGAATGAAGACATTGTCAGAAAAGCAAAGTTTAAAAAAATATATTTCTCACATACCCTTTCTCAAGAAGCTACTGAAGAATCTACTCCAATAAAATAGTAATTCAAAAAAGACAAAGACAGGGGAAAAGGCAAACAAAAGATCAATAGGAAAGGTGAAGGAAATCCCTAGGAGGAGTTTGAAGGAGATTGCAGAATGGTAGTGATTCTCCATTAATACTAAATTGTTTGTCATACAGATTGGAATAGGGTGATTCAAAAGCAGGTATTTTGAGGGCCGTCATAAGATGCCTAGTGACATCGTATCACCTTGTTAACCTGAGGGCAGAATACCTTGGTGATCCTGGCCCAGCTTCTTATCTGTTGGGGTTGGTTTAACTTTGGTTTGGCTTGTCTTGAACAAGTCCTGATGACATCTATCTCTCCCCTCCACACCAGGCTGACTTGGATCACATGAGAACACTCATTTCATCTCAAAGAAGTACTCTGCTTTGATCTACTCCTGAGAGTTGGCAGTTGACTAGTGAGCTAAGAAGCAGAGAACACTGAGCAGCCCACTCACTCTAATTATATTCTTGTCAGACATTCAATACCTGATTCACACTCTGACCCTGCCAGATGGTCCAACCATGTGAGCCCTATGTTTTCCTATGTTTTTCATGACCTTGCCAATGACTTCTCCAAATGAGATTTTTGTAAACTCTCAGAAAAACTGAAGCCAGACTTATGACTCAGAGACTCTATTCAGCTCATCTCCCAGGAGCTTTTATTCAATAGTAGCAGAATTTCTACACACAATTAGATTTGTGCTTGCTTGATAAGTTTTGCCACATTGCTCCCCAGTAAGTCTGTACCATTTTTTACTACCACAAACAATGCATGAGTGGTTTCACCTCTCTACAGCTAACACTGGCTAATATATCTTGAAAAAGCAATGATAAAAATCTTGTCTTGCTAAAGGAAACATGGGTACATAAAAGGACATCTTTTAGACTGTATACATCGAGAAAAAGAAAAAAAAACTCCACCAATCAGACAAAAAATTATGCAATATAAATCGCAGTTATAGTTTTTCAAAACTGAATTTTGTATTGATTAGGGATATATACATACATGGTAAAATCTCTGAGGAAAGCAAGGGAATAAATAACAAAAATGTCAAGATAGTGGCTACCTACTAGCAGGATTCAATCAGAGAATGTATCATGAAGAACAGACAGGGACTTCCCTGGTGGCGCAGTGGTTAAGATTCCATGCTCCCAATATGCAGGGGGCCCGGGTTTGATCCCTGGTCAGGGAACTAAATCCCACATGCATGCCACAACTAAGAGTTTGCATGCAGCAACTAAGGAGTTGGCGAGCTGCAACTAAGGAGCCCACCTGCTACAACTATGAAGCCTGCAAGTAAGACCCAGCACAACCAAATAATAAATATTTTTAAAAAAGAACAGATAATGTTCTATTTCTTAATGTGAGTGCCCATTTATTCTTTAATGTACACATATTTTTATACATGTTATTACATGCATAAAGAGTATTATAATGCTTTATACACTCATCTGTACACATATTACATTACACAATAAAAAAAAATCAGAAAAAAATGAGGAAACTCTATGCTCTGATATGGAAAGACTTCAAAAATATGTTATTGAGTGATAAAAACACACATAATCAAGAGAATGAAAAGACAAAGACATCTTTGCAACACACATACCTGATAAAGGACTGATATCCGAAATATATAAAGAACTCTCAAAACTCAACAATATGAAAACAAACAACCTGATTTAAAAATGGGCCAAAGTGCAGCCAGTATGGAAAACAGTATGGAGGTTCCTCAGAAAACTAAAAATAGAATTACCATATGATCCAGCAATCCCACTCCTGGGCATATATCACCAGACAAAACTATAATTCAAAAACATACATGCACCCCTATGTTCATAGCAGCACTATTCACAATGGCCAAGACATGGAAGCAACCTAACTGTCCACTGACAGAGGAATGGATAAAGATATGGTACATATATACAATGGAATACTATTCAGCCATAAAAAAGAATGAAAAATGCCATTTGCAGTAACATGGATGGACCTAGAGATTATCATACTAAATGAAATAACTCAGAGAAAGACAAGTATCATATGATATCACTTATATGTGGAATCTAAGATATGACACAAATGAACCTTTCTGTGAAACAGAAACAGAATCATGGGTTGGGGGAGAGATGGAGTGGGAGGTTGGGGTTAGCAGATGTAAGCTATTATATTAAACAACAAGATCCTGCTGTATAGCACAGGAAACTATATTCAATATCCTATGTTAAACCTTAATGGAAAAGAATATTTTAAAAAAACAATGTATATATAACTGAATAACTTTGCTGTACAGCAGAAATTAACACAGTATTGTAAATCAACTATACTTCAATAAAATAAATTTTTAAAAAGGGCCAAAGACCTTAACATACACCTCACTAAAGAAGATATACAGGTGACAAATAAACACACATAAAGATACTCAACATCATGTCATATCATCAGAGAATTATAAATTACAACAACAATAAAACACTGTTAAATGCCTGTTAAAGTGGCCAAAGTTCGGGACTTCCCTGGTGGTCCAGTGGGTAAGACTCCATGCTCACAATGCAGGGGGCCCAGGTTTGATTCCCAGTTGGGGAACTAGATCCCGCATGCATGCCGCAACTAAGAAGCCCGCATGTCACAACTAAGACCCGGCGCAGCCTAAATAAATAAATAATAAATAAATGAATATAAAATAATTTTTAAAAAAAGTGGGGCTTCCCTGGTGGTGCAGTGGTTGAGAATCTGCCTGCTAATACAGGGGACATGGGTTTGAGCCCTGGTCTGGGAAGATCCCACATGTCACAGAGCAACTAGGCCCGTGAGCCACAACTACTGAGCCTGCACGTCTGGAGCCTGTGCTCCGCAACAAGAGAGGTCACAACAGCGAGAGGCCCACGCACCACGATGAAGAGTGGCCCCCGCTTGCCACAACTAGAGAAAGCTCTCGCACAGAAACAAAGACCCAACACAGCCATACATACATACATACATACATACATACATACATACATACATAAATAGAAAGCCAAGCATTTGAAGCCCTTTAAAAAAAAAAAAAAGTGGCCAAAGCTCACAACACTGACAACACCAAATGCTGACGACGATGTGGAGCAACAGGAACTCTCACTCACTGCTGGTGGGAATGCAAATGTTACAGCTACTCTGGAAGACAGTCTGGCAGTTTCTCACAAAACTATACATATTCTTGCTGTACACACTGGCAATTGTGTTCCTTAGCATTTACCCAAATGATTAACTTACATCCACACAAAACACTGCACAGAGACATTTATAGCAGCTTAATTCTTAATTGTCAAAACTTGGCAGCAACTAAGATGTCCTTCAATTGCTGAATGGGTAAATAAATGGTAGTACATCCAGACAATGGAATATTATTCAGTGATAAAAAGAAATGAGCTATCAAGCCATGAAAACACATGGAGGAACTTTAAATGCGTATTACTAAGTGAAAGAAACCAATTTGAAAAGGCTACATACTGACTGATTGACTGATTCCAACTGTATGATGTTCTAGAAAAGGCAAAACTAGGGGGACAGTAAAAAAAAAAATCAGTGGTTTCCAGGTGCTCAAGGAAAGGGAGAGAGGGATGAATAGATGGAGCACAGGGGATTTTGTGGGCAGTGAAAGTATTCTGTAAGATACGATAATGGTGGATACACGTCATTATCTATTTGTCAAAACGCACAGAGTGCACAACACCAAAAGCAAATCCTAATGTAAACTATGGACTTTACTTAAAGTATCAATATTGGCTCATCAACTGTAACAGGTATACCACATTAATGCAAGATGTTAGTAACAGGGGAAACTGTGCAGAGGGAGAAAAGGAGTATATGGGAACTCTGTACTTTTCACTTAAATTTTCCGTAAGCCCAAAACTGCTCTAAAAATTAAGTCTGTTCATTAAAAGTAAAACAAAACACATATAAACAGAACAGTATGATTAATATGCTATCTTATAATAACCTGTACTTATACTTGTGTAAATATGTACAAATACATTCTGCAATGCCATTCAAGAAAGTAATGACAATGGAACTCGTGGAAATTAGGGGGAGAATTTAAATACACATCCGGATATTTAGTGAATTCTCTAGCATCATGCTAATCTGACCAGAAAAATAAAATACACACTATAGTACCCTGAAGAATGCTATATGAAATAACCAGAGACAAAACAATAAGCTGTTTAATTTATTTTTCTGGGGATGCTGTTCAAAACACCATCTATATGAAGGTCCATAAAATTTATTCAGACCTAATACTAGAGAACCAAGGAAATGATATTCATAATCAATGCAAGACACTTAATTAACTTGATTTACTTTTTGGCTGCTGGTATTGATTATTCTTACTATGTTTTCCTGAGTTTTACTCATTTATACCTTTCTCTATTTCATTTTCTAGGTCCTTATAAACTTCCTCAAATGCACAGAAAAATAAAATTGGGAATAAACAAACAACTCACCTGGGATTTGTTCATTTTCTACAGCTTTTGGGTGAAGGCAGAGAACTATGAAGGCAGAACTGAAATAGAGGAAAAAGAAAGGTATTGTTATTAAAGATCTGACCTGCCTCAGAACTTCTAGAATGACTTGTTTGGAAATCCTCACACATCACCTGAGAAAATACCACCTCCTGAGCTAGTCCTTTTGCCTGTTCAGAAGGGGCAAAAAGGATCATGCTGGCAGCACTCACTTTCAATCAAACATTATGAAATATCTGAAAAGGTAAGACAAAGACAACCCACTATCAACTGACAAAACAGTGAAAAGAAACCATGACTGATTAAATTACTGGACAGGGAATTTAAAACTATGATTCATATATTAAAGTTTTAAAGGAAAAGATTTACAAAATGAATGAACAGAGAATTTCAAGAGATGGAAACTTCAAGAAAAAAATGGAAATGCTAAGAAAAGCACAGTAACAGAGTTGAAAGAATACCTTCAATAGGTATTACAACAGAGTTGAGGAAATTTTCAGTAAATCTGAAGATAGGTCAAAAGAAATTACCCAAACTGAGACACAAAGAGAAAGCAAAGGGGGAAAAAAAAGGACAGAGAATCCAAGGGCTGTAGTACAATATCAAATGGCCTAACAAAAATGTATTGGGATCCCAGGGACTTTCCTGGTGGTCCAGTAGTAAAGAATCTTTCTCCCAATGCAGGGAACACAGGTTCGATCCCTGGTTGCGGAGCTAAGATCCCACATGCCGTGGGGCAATTAAGCCCTTGCACCACAACTACTGAGCTCACGAGCCTCAACTAGAGAGCCTGCGTGCTGCAAACGACACAGCACACGCACCACAACTAGAGACAGAAAAACCTGCATGCCACAGCTAGAGAGAAGCCCATGTGCTGCAACGACGTGCCCGCGTGCTGCTACGAAAGAGCCCGCGTGCTGCAACTAAGACCCAACGTAGCCAAAAATAAATAAAATAAATAAATAATCTTTAAAAGAATGTATTGGAATCCCAAAAGAAGAGAAAATGGGACAGAAGGAGTATTGAAGACATAATGACCAAGGATTTTCCAAAAATACTGAATGATATCAAACCACAGATCCAAGAAACTCAGATAATTTATCCAAAAAGGATAAATATCAAAAAACAAAATAGGGCTTCCCTGGTGGCACAGTGCTTGAGAGTCCGCCTGCCGATGCAGGGGACACAGGTTCGTGCCCTGGTCTGGGAAGATCCTACATGCCGCGGAGCGGCTGGGCCAGGGAGCCATGGCTGCTAAGCCTGTGCATCCGGAGCCTGTGCTCCACAACGGGAGAGGCCACAACAGTGAGAGGCCTGCGTACCACAAAAAAAAAACCACACACACAAAAAAAACAAAATAAAAGGGACACACCTGGACATACCATATTCAAACCAATGGAAACCAAAGTTAGAAAGAAATTCTTGAAAGCAGCCAGAAAAAAAACCTGACACGTTACATACAGACATACCTCATTTTATTGCTCATCACAGATTGCCTTTTTTTTTTTTTTTTTAAACAAATTGAAGGTTTGTGGTAACTTTGCATTGTTAGATGATGGTCAGCATTTTTTAGTAATAAAGTACTTTTAAATTAAGGTATGCACATTGTTTTTTAGACATAATGATATTGCACACTTAACAGACTGCAGTAAAGGTAAACATGACTTTTATATGCACTGAGAAACCAAAATATTCATGTGACTTGCTTTATTGCAATGATCTGGAACTGAATTAAAGAATCACAGAGAATTTCTCATCAGAAACTATACAAGCTGGAAGACAATGTAGTGACATCTTTAAAGTGCTTTAGAAAAGAAGAAAAAAAAAAAGGAAAGAAAAAATTACCAATCCAGTATTCTATACCCAGTAAATACATCTTTCAAAAAATGAAAGTGAAAATAAAAACCTTTTCAAACAAAAAAAAACCAGAAAACTCATTCCCAGTAGACCTGTACTACAAGAAATATTTAAAGAAGTTCTTCGTAGAAGGAATATGATAACAGACAGAAATGTGGATCTACACAAAGAAATAAAGATCTCTGGGAATGGTTAAAATGAAGAGAAATATAAAAGACATTTTTTCTTACTTTTAATCAATCTAAAAGATACTTGACTGTCTAAAGCAAAAAGAGTAGACAAGTTTTGTGAACTTATAGCATATGTAAAATATATAATGATAATAGCACATAGATGAGATGATGAAATTATTGATGGCAGTATATTGTTTTAAGGATCTTACATTACACACAAACAATAGACTATATTTAAAGGTTCACTATGATTCACTCAAGAAGTTTATTTAAACCTTAGGGCAACCACAAAAAAATTTAAAGAGGTATAAACAATAACCAAATAGTGGAGAAAAATATGGATTCATGAAAAACTACCACTAAATCCAAAAGCAGTCAGAAAAAGAGGAAAACAGGAACAAAGACCAGATGGGCCAAGTAGAAGAAAACTAGCAAGATGGTAGATTTTAACCCAACCATGTCAATAATTCATTGTACAAACACACCAATTAAATGACAAAGGTTGCCAAACTGGATTAAAAAAGACCAAACTACGTGCTGTCTAAAAGCAATGTGTTTGGGACTTCCCTGGTGGCACAGTAGTTAAGAATCTGGCTGCCAATGCAGGGGACATGGGTTCGATCCCTGGTCCGGGAAGATCCCACATGTCCCGAAGCAACTAAGCCCGTGTGCCACAACTACTGAGCCTGTGCTCTAGAGTCCGCACACCACAACTATTGAGCCCACATGCCACAACTACTGAAGCCCGCATGCCTAGAGCCCGTGCCCTGAAGCAAGAGAAGCCACCACAATGAGAAGCCCACACACTGCAATGAAGAGTAGCCCCTTCTTGCTGCAACTAGAGAAAGCCCACACGCAGCAATGAAGACCCACAGCTAAAAATAAATAAAATAGAAGCAATGTGTTTTAAATATAAAAACATAGTGACGAAATAAAATTTTAAGGCAGAACAAGAAATTTAAACATAAAATTCTGTCCTTTGGGCCTCCTCCCTCTCTGTTTCGTGTGCAACATCCAGCCACATTACACTTTAACCAGACCTTCTCAAAGATGGGAATGCCTACTCAACCATAAAGATCTTTTTTTCTTTCTTCTGATGCTAGCAATGTAACTTCTTAAAAGATTAACATTCTTTCTCAACTCTGTAAGGGGGTCATAATGACTTGCTGCTCACTTTGTAAGTGCTTACCTGGACTACTGTATATTGGTGAACTTTATGTCAGTACATCATTTTGATGTATGATCCTTTGTCTCAAAAAATGTATATGACTGTGCCTTCAACTTCTAACAGGCAGGACAGTTCTCAGAGCTTCTTAGAGTCTGTCTCCTGGGTTACAATCCTCAGGTTGGCTCAAATAAAATTCTCTTCCTTCTTGATTGTTAATTGAATTTTCAATAATAGCTAGATCAAAAGTAAAAGGATAAAAAAAGATATTCCTTGGGACTTCCCTGGTAGTCCAGGGGTTAAGACTCCACGCTTCCAATGCAGGGGGCACAGGTTTGATCCCTGGTTGGGGAACTAAGATCCTGCATGCCACAAGGCACAGCCAAAATAAGAAGAAATAAAAAATAAAAAATGATATTCCTTGCACACACTAATCAAAAGAAAGCTGGACTGATTAATATCAAGCTAAGTAGACTTAATAAGAAATATCACCAGGGATAAAGTGTGATATTACATGTCACTGTGATAAATGACACATGATAAATGTATCAAATCACCAGAACACATAACAATCCTAAATGTATATGCACAAAAGAACTTCAAAATACAAGAAGGAAAAGTTGATAAAAGTGAAAGAATAAATAGATAAACCACAATTATAGCTTGAGACTTCAATATTCTTTTCTCAGTAGGTGACAACAGAGGTAGATAAAAAACCAGTAAGGATACAGAAGAACTCAACCACACTATCAACCACCCTGACCCATTTAGTACTGACAGAAAACTCTACCACCAACACAGCACAATAGTCATTAAAGTACATAAAAAACATTCCCAGGGACTTCCCTGGTGGTCCAGTGGTTAAGACTCCACACTCCCAATGCAGGGAGCCCAGGTTCAACTTCTGGTCAGGGAACTAGACCCTGCATGGCACAAGAAAGAGCCCACGTGCCGCAACTAAAAAGATCCTGCGTGCATCAACGAAGACCCGGCACAGCCAAATAAATAAATAAATATTTTAAAAAAATCCCCAAGGTAGATCATATCCTTAGCCATGAAACAAATCTCAAGTTTTAAAGAACTGAAATACATAACAAAGTATATTCTTTGACCAAAACAGAATTAAGCTAGAAATCAATAATAGAAAGAGATGTAGAAAATCCCCTAATGTTTGGAAATTAAATAACAAACTTCTAAATAACCAATGGGTGAAAAAGGAAGTCACAAGGGAAGTTTTTAAAACAAACAAACACAGAATTGAATGGAAATGAAAACAAAACATACCAGAATTTGAGGGATGCAGCTAAAGCAGTATTTAGAGGACAGTATTTAGAGGACATTTATAGCATTAAAACCAATGTCAAGGGACTTCCCTGATGGCGCAGTGGTTAGGAATCCGCCTGCCAGTGCAGGGAACACGGGTTCGAGCCCTGGTCCAGGAAGATCCCACATGCCGCAGAGCAACTGGGCCTGTGTGCCACAATTGCTGAGCCTGCACTCTAGAGCCCGCGAGCCACGACTGCTGAGCCCATGTGCCACAGCTGCTGAGGGCCGCACGCCTGGAGCCAGTCTCCACAACAAGCGGGGCCACTGCAATGAGAGGCCTGTGTACCGCAAGGAAGAGTAGCCCCCGCTCGTGTCAACTGGAGAAAGCCCGCACGCAGCAACGAAGACCCAACGCAGCCAAAAAATACCAAAAAAAAACAATGTCAAGAATAATCGAGATGTTACTACAGATGCTACAGACATTAAAAAGTTATTCTTTCACAATAAAAATTGATAAACATTAGCTACGTTAATTAAGGAGAAAAAGGAGCAATCCCAAATACACAAAATAAGAAAAGTGGGAAATATCAACAAACTCAAGAGAAAAAAGATGAAATAATGGAAAAAAAATTCCATCTTCAATAGCAATAAATTACTACATAAGAATAAAGTTAATAAAAATGCAAATATTTTATGAAAAAACTTATAAAGTGCTGGCAAGGGGGAAAAATGAAAGAGGAACAAATGGGAAGGCCTACAGTAAGATCCAACATCATAAAGGTGTACATTCCCCCTAATTAAATGTAATCATTATCTGGATCATAATAAAAGTACCAACAGGGCTTCCCTGGTGGCGCAGTGGTTGAGAGTCCGCCTGCCGATGCAGGGGACATGGGTTCGTGCCCCGGCCCGGGAAGATCCCACATGCCGCGGAGCGGCTGGGCCCGTGAGCCATGGCCGCTGAGGCTGCGCGTCCGCAGCCTGTGCTCCGCAATGGTAGAGGCCACAACAGTGAGAGGCCCGCGTACCGCAAAAAAAAAAAAAAAAAAAAGTACCAACAAATTTCTTTAAAATATAACTTATTCTAAAGTACCAGTGGGAATCATTAGTAAAACTTGTATAATCTCAAAGTAGTGAAAGCTTGTGGGTGTCATAAAAAGGTAGAGCAGCAAATTCAACCATAAAGAAATTCAAAACGCCTCCATGGCAAAACCCACCAATGAGCAAAATTAAAGGCAAATGAAAAAATACTTCCCATTCATATGACAAAATACCAGCTGGCTGTGTGACCTTGGGTAAATCACTTCACCAGAGCCTTCACTTTTCCTTCTGTTGAAACTGAGGAACTAAGCGAAGACACAGGGTAGGCGTGAAGGCTGGGTGAACACTTCAGCTGAAAAGGCTCTTGCAAAGAGGTCACAGGTCTTACTCATTCAGCAATTTGCGCATCAGGAAACTTGCGAAACCTTTCAAGCCTCCCTCCACCCCGCGAGGCCCTGGGCAGCCGCACGCGGCCTCCGGGCGCTGCCAGGTGCGCCCGGCCCCGCCCCCAGCCTCGCCCTGCGCCCGCCCGCCCGCCGGGTTTCAGGACCTGCTCCCGCGCACCCGGAGACCTTAGCGGCGGGTCGGAGGCGCTTTGCCTGACAAAGGAAGGAAGGCTGGCCCTCGCCACCGCCCTCCCCTTCGGCCGTTCCCGCCCCCGCACGTCCGGCCAGGATGGCGCAGCCGGTCCCGCGCCGAGGAGAGGGCCGGGCCGCCCCGGACACCACCCCGAGGGTCGCCGCCGCCTGCGAGTCACTGAAGTTTGGGCTTCCACCCCACGCGGGCACGAGCCCATCCCTCATCTCCTTCCCCTCGGCCCCCAGACCCCGCGGAGCTGCCTGGCAGGCCCCCTCATACCTGGAGGGGCACAGCCTCCGCTCGTGGCTCAGTGCCAGGCCGGGTCACGGCGCGTGGCGGCTAAAACGCGAGGAGACCGGAGCCCTGTCACCCACTCGCGGCGGGAGGTGGGGGAAGGGCGCCACCGGCGCGCTCGCAGCATTGCACATGCGCAAATGCAGGGGCTGCTTGCCGTCCCAGGGTCCTCCGAGGGGTGGTCCATCGAACTTCGGGACTACATTTCCCATAAGCCTGCAGGGCCTCACCGTAGGGACTCTCAGGAAAGTCTTCACCTTGTTTAGCCGGTCGGATGAGCGCTGACCAAGATAATCCCTTGGCCTGGACTCCACTTCCACCAGAGCGGTTTATGAGTTATAACCACTACCTACCCCAAAATACAAATCCTGGCTTTTAAAGATTACACAGGTAACCAATGGTAACAGCATTTAAATTAGAAAATATGTATAAAATAAAGCAAATATTACCCATAATCTCACTTTTCAAAGATAACCGTATGTAACATTAAGTTCACACCTTTCTGATATTTTTAAATAATAAAATCGGCCATAAAGATACCATGTGCTGCAACTTTTTTTTTTAAAGTTAGGTTTACAGTAAAATGTGAGGAGATGCAGTTCGTCTATGAGGAACACAGAGTTCCACTATACCACCTGCACTATCAACCTCCAGTACCACAGTGGTACATTTGCTACGATCGAACGTACACTGACAAATCACCTGAAGTCCATAGTTTACACTAGGGTTCACTCTGGGTGTTGAACATTCTATGGATTTTGACAAATATATGATGACATGTATCCACCACCATAGTATCATACAGAATAGTTTCACTGCCCACAAAATCCCCTGCACTCCATCTATTCATCCTTCCCTCCTTCTCCCCGAGTCCCTGAAAGTCACTGACCTTTTTACTGTACTCCTAGGACTGTTACCAAGTCCAAGCTTCACCGCAGGCCAATACATCAAGAGACGTTCTTGGGGCAAGGAATAGCGACTAAACCCAGAAAACCAGCAGACCGAGAAGATGAATGTGTGTCCCAAAGAACCATCTTGCCTGAGTTAGAACTCAGGCTTCTTTTACACTAAAAAGAGGGAGGGAGTAGGGTGAAACAGTTCCTGGTTCCCCTCAGCCTCTGGAGGGGGTACGTTAATTTCTTCTTCCTGCAGTCATTCACAGGTGGGCCTGGTCAAGATGTTTCCTGTGAGCTGAAGAAAGGTATTTTAGCTTAATACACATTACCTGGGAGGCAGGGGTTCCCAGAGATGGTCTATTATGTATAATTTAAGCTTACAGGCAACATCCCTTTAGTGATTAACTTGTAATAGAATACGAAATTTCTTCCCTATTACACCTTCGCCTTTTCCAGAATGTAACATAGTTGGAATCATTCAGTATGTAGCCTTTTCAGATTGGTTTCTTTCACTTAGTAATATGCACTTAAAGTTCCTCCATATCTTTTCATGGCTTGATAGCTCATTTCTTTTTAGCACTGAATAATATTCCATTGTATGCATGTACCACCACTTATTTATCCATTCAGCAATTGAAGGACATCTTTGTTGCTTCCAAGTTTTGACAATTATGAATAAAGCTGCTATAAGCATCCCTGTGCAGTGTTTTGTGTGGAAATAAAATAAGTTTCTCATTTGTATAAATATCAAGGAACACAACTGTCAGATTTTATGATGAGAGTATATTTAGTTTTGTAGAAACTGCCAGACTGTCTTCCAAAATGGCTGTACCATTTTGCATTCCCACCAGCAATGAATGAGAGTTCCTGTTGCTCCACACCCTGTCAGCATTTGGTGTTGTCAGTGTTGTGGATTTTGGCCATTCTAATAGGTGTGTAGTGGTAGCAACTAGTTTTTAATTAAAACAACATATAGTCTCAAAAAGCTACTGTTACTGAACCAAACTTGGGTCTGTATGCAAACAGTGAAGCCAGTCTATTGATACCAGGCTGTGGTGAAGGAAAGTGCAGGGTTTATTGCAAGGCCAAGCAAGGAGTAGAGGCGAATAATGCTTAAAACACTGCAATTCCGCAATGGCTTTTAGGGAAAGAT